CGAATATGTGAATTACACGAAAGCACTTGAAAACTTCGTGTTTTCTTGTTTACTATGTGGTTATCAGCATATGCATGGATCCTGCGCACCTACAATGATTTATTTGCATATATATATATATATATATATATATATATATATATATATATATATATATATATATATATATATATATATATATATATATATATATATATATATATATATATATATATATATATATATATATATATATATATATATATATATATAAACGTTACTCTGACCACCTACGTGATACGGGTGGTCCCCATTAGAGGTTCACGGCGCCATAAGCTCGTTGAACAGGCTTTGTGTGAAATATAACAAAGTCTAGGACTGCTTTTAGTATCCTGGTGGTCCAGCGGTTAGTGTTCCCCGGTCACAGTCATAGGCTTGTGGGCCATGGGTTCGAATCCTGGCGGGTTGAGGTGTTGATTGTATGTAGAAGTCCGCGTGCTTTATTGGGCTAATGATATATATATATATATATATATATATATATATATATATATATATATATAAGAACATAAGAATGGAGGAAACTGCAGCCGGCCTATTGGCCCATACTGGGCAGTCCCGTTTACACCCAACCCCTATTGCTCATATAAGCATCCAACCTATGTTTGAAGCTATTCAGCATATTCGAGTTAATGATGATATTTGGTAACTTGTTCCATTCATCCACTACTCTGTTTCCAAACCAGTGTTTACATATTTCAAGCCTAAATCTAAATTTGTCTAATTTAAAACCATTGTTACGAGTTTGCTCCTGGTTGGATAGTTTGAGTACCTTTGTAATGTCCCCTTTGTTTAGCCCTGCCTTCCACTTAAACACCTCTATCAGGTCGCCCCTCGCTCTACGTCTCTCGAGGGAGTGCAAATTTGGATGCTTTAACCTGTCTCTATACTCAAGGTTCCTAATGCCCGGGATTAGTCTTGTCACTCTCCTCTGAATTCTTTCCAAGGATTCTATATCCATTCTGTAAGACGGTGACCAGAACTTAACTGCTTAATCCAGATGTGGTCTCACAAGAGCAAGCTACAGTTTTAGGATGACCTCGCTAGTCTTGTAACTAACACTCCTTTGTATGAACCCAAGTACTTTATTAGCCTTGTTACGAGCAAAAACACATTGTTTACTTGGCTTAAGGTTCCTACTTATCATTACTCCTAAATCTCTCTCGCAGTCGGATTTCTCTATGGCATCGTTGTTCATCTGGTATCTGGTTTCCCTGTTTACATCTCCTATACTGAGTATGTTACATTTGTCCACGTTGAATTTCATCTGCCATTTTTCAGACCATTCGATAAATTTGTTTAGATCTTCCTGTAGTTTTGCTGAGTCCTCGTCAGATTTGATAACACGTCCTATTTTAGTGTCATCAGCAAATTTGCTGATGTTGCTGTCTATGCCGATATCTATGTCGTTTATGTATACAATAAATAATAATGGTCCAAGTACTGAGCCTTGGGGAACTCCACTTGTGACGTTGCTCCAATGGGACTTAGTGCCATTAATGCTCACTCGCTGTTTCCTGTCCTGTAACCACGCCCTAATCCATTTAAGGATATTACCTTTCCTGCCATGTGCTTCTACCTTTCTAATTAGTCGTTCGTGGGGGACTCTGTCGAAGGCTTTGCTTAAGTCGAGATATACCACATCATAATTGTGCCCCTCGTCCACTGATTCGAAAACTGATGAAAAGAATGTTAATAGATTAGTTAGACATAAATGCCCGCTTGTGAACCCATGCTGGGAATCATTGATCAACTTGTGCTTCTCCAGTTGGTTTCCAATAGAGTTTGAAATAATTGATTCTAGTAATTTACCTACTATTGATGTTAGACTGCATGCACTGTAGTTAGAGGATAGTGATCTATCCCCCTTCTTGAAAATCGGTATTACATTCGCTATCCTCAAGGATTCTGGTACGACACCTGTTTTTAATGACATGTTAAACAACTTTGCTAAGAGCATACTAAGCTCTTCCTTACATTCCTTTAATACTCTGGCAAATATCTCATCGGGACCAAGTGACTTATTAGTCTTCAGTTTGTCTATTTGCTTATTAACATCGTTACTAGTCACTTTTATCTTGCTTTATTTGTTTTCTTCACTATCTCTGAATAGAGTCGGTGCCTTGGGTATCATGTTTAAATTTTCGGTGGTGAAAACTGTTGAAAAATATTTATTCAGATTATTGCTCATTTCTCCATCGTTATCAGCTAGCTCACCGGTATCTGAACGTATTGGTCCAATCTTATCTCGTGTTTTAGTTTGATGCATTTGGTAGAATCCTTTGGAGTTTGTTTTCGCCTCCCCTGCTACCTTCAGTTCATAGTTCCTCTTGGCTTTTCTTATCTCGGTCTCAACCCTACCGGCCAATACCTTACAATACTCCCGGAGGTAAAATTCGCCACGATTTATCCTTCTACCTATAGCCTTCCTTTGGCCAATAATGTTCTTTAAATAATTATTTATCCATTTAGGGTCATTGTTGTCTGATCTGAGTTTTTTGTATAGTATGTTCTACCTTTGTGCATTAAGTAACTCATTATTTAAATTGTCATGGAACTCGGCAATCTCAGATCTCGTTATCAGGTCAGTGTCATCTGTCAGGTTCACGGCCAAGTGCGACACCCCCTCTCTCAGATGCCTCTTTAAACTGTCAAAGTTTGCCCTTCTGAAATCTGGTACTTCAGTGGAATTTTCCTTACGTCTGCCCTGAAAATCTAACTGGAATCTAATTTCTTTGTGATCGCTGCTTGCAAGTTCGTTCCCTACCTCGACATTGCTAATGAGGTTTTCTCTGTTTGACAGAACTAAATCGAGTATATTATTACCCCGGGTGGGTTCGGTTATGTGTTGACTTAGAAAACAGTCCTGGATCATCTCGAGAAAATCCTCTGATTCTGAGTTACCTGTAAGGTCAGTCCAATCTATTTGGTCAAGGTTGAAGTCGCCTACTATACAGACTTTGTTGTGTATGGAAGCCCTGCGCTTTTCATCCCAGATAAGTCGCTCATTGACTCTATCAAGATTGGGAGGTCTATATATTACTCCTGTAATTAATTTTTCTCTACCGTCGATTAATTCTATCCAAATTGTTTCTGTATTCCGCTCAGTTTTTATTTCCTTATTTATTTCACAATTCAGATTATCCCTAACATAGATTGCTACTCCGCCTCCTTTCCTGGTCTGCCTATCAGTATGGAACAGTTTGTAACCCGCAATTTGGTATTCGACCGGTAACTTACGTGAGTCTAGGTTGATCCATGTTTCAGTGAATGCTATTATATCGATTTTTTCGGTACATACTGTATGTATATTATGTATGCTGGATTATGTATTATGTATGTATATTATGTAGTCGTGTTCTGAGTCCTCCCCTTACCGCGTTTAGTTTTAAATTTAGTTTTGTCATCATTCCTAACACTATTTCCCTGTAATCTTTCACTTTGTTTACCCGCTCCCACTGCATTCTCCTCCACCCCCATGCTCATATGTTCTCCTAGCAGTTTAAAGACTTCAATATCTTTTGAACTGCCCCCTCTAGAGCCCCAGCCAGGGTTGCTACTCCATTCCTAGATAGGTGCACCCCATCCCTAGCATGAAGGTCCCTTCTGCCGTAGAAGTTGTCCCAGTTGTCAATGAATGGGACTGATATTGACTTGCAATATCTGTCAAGACGGTCGTTGACACCAACTGCCCTTGACAACCATTCACTGCCAACTCTCCTTCTAGGCAGGACACTGCATATGATAGGGATCCCTCCCTTCGTCCTAATACGATCTACAGCTGCCTTGAACTTATCAAGAAGCTCCTCGCTCCTACACCGGCCAATATCATTGCCTCCTGCACTGAGGCAGATAATGGGTTTGTTCCCATAACCAGACAAGATATTGTCCATCCTGTCAATTATATCCCCAATCCCAGCTCCTGGCAAACACACCCTCATCCTATTTATGTTTTTACCACAAAAAGCCCTGTCCAAGTCCCTTACCTGTGAATCACCAACAATTAAAGTTTTTATACCTTCCTTGTCAGCCCTGTCCCTGACTGTACTAACATCCAATTCGTCTATCAAGGGACTGAACGAGTTGGTACACTTAGCTGCTGATGTCGTTGTTGACATATCCTTGGTGTGTTTCTTCATCACCAGTTTGGTCTTCCCTTTCCTTACAACCTTCCACTTGCTTGAATTTTCGTCAGACACTGGCTTTCCCTGTCCCGCCTCCCCCTTCAATCTCGCCATCTCTTCTTTTAATTTCAGGTTCTCCAACGTGGCCCTCTCTATTTCTTCCTTGGCCCTCTCCAATTCTTCCATGGCCCATTCCAGCTTGGCCAACAAACTCGCAGACCCCAGACCACACATAGCGCTGGCCATATCTGATAATTATCCCTCGGGAGCTAACCCTGCCGTGACCTTTCCCCTAGTGAGGTCAGGGTTGCGATATGCAACAGCGAGTTCGAAAGGGTTGTAGTGGTCCTCAAAGGTTGGGAACCACTGTTAGATCATGGTGTTTCTTAAGTTTCAAGAAATTTACTGGATTCTCAGAAAAGACAAGTAGTTCAATGTACACCGGCCCCAATATTATACCATGAAAAAAAAAGAAAAGAAAAAAGCTCCTAGTCATTACTGTGTCCAAATTTCAGCTACCTTGCTCAAAAAGTGCTTGAGATGTCACCTGAACAAGCAAGCACGCAAGAAAGTAAAACAAAAGGGGCGAAGAAGCTACTGTTATTATAGTTCCTTAAAATCTGGCGGATTCTTTAGGATACATATTTAGAAGATAATAGAGTAAGACTTTACTGACGCACACTTCGCTAATCTGTTACTCTATGTATTTATTTGTCAATATACTCAGTGCAGTGAATCTTCTTCATTAATTCCTCCTTCTACAAACAACACATTTAATTATAAATGCAAATCAATATTTTCCATATTCTATAAAATGCTTTAATGTGTACTTAACAGGTAGTAAATGCATTAAGTCCTTCAAGCAGAAGCAAAACTTGACGCTTGCCCGAGCCACTTGTAAGGGGTTAGGTCATAATGTTGACTTGGTCAGCATCCATTCTTCTGGAGAACAAGGTGAGAGCCTCTGCATCTCAATTTCTCATATTCTGATCAACAAACACATGATTTATTTTAAGTCAGTCACAGAGATGTAACTGGGGTTCCTTCCTCACAGCATATCTGACAGCCCTTCTTGGTGCTATGCAAGAGGATTTGTGGCTGGGAATGCAGAACAATGGAGAGTTCGTGTGGTTAGACCAGTCCTCCGTTACTTACACCAACTGGGCACCAGGAGAACCTAACGGAGGGGAATCAGGGGTGAGTTAGTGTGTTTCTTAATCTTTAGTTGTAGATGACTTAAAATACGTGCTCAAAGACCTTAATGGTTTGGTGAAGTGGAGTAATATATTCTAATATCACATCTAATTGACATCTTCATTACTGTGACAGCAACGCATTGCAGAATCAACCATAGAAATTTTGAATATTATTCATACCTGATCCTTTATACTTTCCCTTTAATGGAGAATTAAAAGAAAAAACTAAGCAAACTATTTAGGATATATGTAAAAAAAAAAAAACTTAAATGTTTACTGGAGATAAAGACTTATTTTCCTGACATACCACGCAGAAGTGCATGTCTGTACAGTCAACAACAACAACAAAATTATCGCGTCCGGTGAAACTAGGAATGAGCAAATACCTCAGCCACTCATGGTATGTGTTGGGTTGGCATACTCGGGATTTATAAACACTTCTTCCTATGTTCAAGAATGAAAAGTACGGAAAGCGGCAAGAAAATTTTTTCGTTGACTGTACGAACTGTACCAGCGACATATTGGAATCCACGTAAACGTGACTGTCAGCTGACAGTGTTTTAACACAGACTAAAGCAGTATTCTGTAATTTTCACGATCACTTTTAGCATTTTTATTTTAGACTTAAAACTTTTACCACTGTCGGACTATTTCGTAGGTATTGTAATAATAATTTCTCATCTAAAGATATTTTTTTCTCACTAATATCCTGTGACAGGTCCCGCGCAAGTTGAAGCCACACTCACTAATGTGAGCAGGGTACACACTCGTGGTGAATAAAGAAATATATTTATGCAGTTCAATAAAGCCTTACCCTAAAAAAATGATAACTGTAAGATAATGCGAATGATAAAGATAAAGAACATCATGTTATTAGTGCACAGAAAACTGAGACATAAGGTCTGTGGATATAGTGTTAACCTCAGCTGTGTAATGGATGTAGTGTGTCAGTGTTTACATCAGCTATATAATGTACGGTAAGTAATATGTTGGTGTTTACCTCGGTTCCATAATGTATGTAGTATGTAAGTGTTTACATCAGCTATATAATGTACACACTTTCATTTATTGGGCACCCCCCTAAATCCTTGAGTAAGGTGAAGCGCAGAAGTGTTTACAGCGCCCAACAGGGAAGCATGCTTGCCTTATGTCTTATGAGTTAAGGGCGTAGAAGCCTGAAGAGTCGAGGGCGTAGAAGAATGAAGAGTCAATGGTTTTTACGTCTCAGCAAGTTATTAGAAGTTCCAACAACTTGTCCCTGAATACGAATTCGCAACTTTCGACTTACAGTAGGTACCTACTTTGCTGCTAGGTGAACAGGGACCAAGGGGACTAGGAAGAGTGTCCAAAAAACTTCCGCCGGCCCTGGAATCGAACCCGTGACATCTTGCTTGCGAGGCAAGAACGGTACCGCTCTACTATCAGCTCCCCCGCTGTCAGTTTCATGCACGATGACAACATCGTCTGTCCAGGCCTCTGCCTTTTTTTTGCTCTTGATGGTGAGCAGATCTGAGAAACTTCTTTCAGAGGAGTAAGTGCTGTGGAATGCCACCAGAACTTGGGGTGCTTTACCAGCAGCAATCAGTTCATATGATTCTTTCTGGCTCACTGTTACCTAAAATTCGGTGCGGTTGTGGCTGTTGAAAGAGTCCTTCATTTCCGAGTCACAGTGGAGTTCGATCAGTGTGTCTTTTTCTTGAGTGGGCAGATTGCTGTCGTTCAGGTTTGAGATAAGGAACGAGTTTCTTATCCAACTATTCTTCTTTTGTTCTTCATTCGCAGGAGGAAAATAGTGGTTAAAATTCTGCTGGAGAAAAATGAGATGTCGGGACACAACTATTATCATTTTGTCGTCAATGACTTTGTCCTTTTACTCTGCAATCTCTTTCCCAAGCTAATCAAAATATGAAAAGTCCCTTCTCTTTACCCTTTTCTTCCACCCTAAAAATTTTAATTTGATTGCCTCAATTTTGTCATTGGAAGTGAACAGATATTGACCTGGCCTTTGAAGGAAGAGGTTCAACATATTGAGCTTGATGAATATATCACACAAGTAAGAAAGCTTAGCAACCCACTCCTCTTGCATGAAACAGAATGCATGCGGTGAGCCACATTCTTGCAAGAAGCCATGAACTGCCTTCCTTAGTTGAGAGAGTCTCTTCAGTGCAACTCCTCTTGATAGCCATCACACTTCGCTGTGAAACAGCAGGGTCTACTCTGTCTCCCCCATCCCGTCGCAGAAGTCATGGAACATGCGAGCTTTCTCAGCTTTGCTCTTGATATCACTGATGATAATGACGCACTTTTTCATTACTGCATCCAAATCGGACTCACCTTGTAGATGCTTTGATGCCAATTTGGGCGATACAGTTCGGTGCATAACATTTCAATCTTGCCACTGCCCAACCATACTCGCTGCGCCATCGGTTGTGATATGTGAACACTTTTCAATTGCAATGCCATTATGGGTGAGACAGTCCAGAACTCTTTTGCAATTGTTTCACCGGTAGTTTCTGCGCCAGCATCTTCACAAATAAAACAAATGCCTCTGCCATTCGAAAATGCTCACAATCAACATAGCGAATGAAGCATATCAGCTGAACCCTGTTTGTGAGATCTGACGACTCGTCAAACTGCAATCCATAGCAGGGACTTTTCCTACGCTACCACATTATATGTGTGATCGGGGGCCCCTCAAAGATTGGGGGCCCCTAGGCACGGGCCCCATGTGTCTATTGGGAAATCCGCAACTGTACAGATTTTTGTGGGTCACAATGTCGGTCACAGCTGCTCTTGGGTCACAGTAGTCTGCCGGGTCACACTAGTATAAGTTTTGGGACACAGTACTGTGACCGGGTATCACAGGTTTGAGGAAGACTAACAGCTAGTGCTTACCTTAGCTCTATAATGTATGTAGTGTGTTAGTAGTTACCTCAGCTATGTATTGTATGAAATGTGTCAGTAGGGTGTCATACGGAGGCGAATATTTTTTTTTAGTTTGAAAAATCGGCCCATGGTAATAATGATGTAGTTCTATGTGCAGAATCATGTGATATCTTCAGATTTGAAAAGGTTTCATTTTTTGCTAGGTAAATTTTAACTTGAAATCTTATGAAAATTCAGTATTCCCACCCTTTTACCAACACCACTAAATAGCTTATTTAAAGTAAAGTAAATGTATCAGGTTAATTTATTAGGATGAAAATGATCCAGAATAGTGAAACGAATGATCTTGACACATTTATTAAATTTAATATTTCTTTAGAAAACAAAATCATCAAATACAAAAACCGGTTTTACTACTACGACCCGGTGTTGCTGCACACCATAGAGAACATGTCTTTCTTGCTTCTGTTTCTACTCATCACCTCCCTGCTGACCACCTGAGCTCGGATGTAGCCTTCCCTCCTCTCCTGGCTGTACACGTGAAGGGAAATAGTGTTAGTAGGGTGTGTCATAATGGAGGCGAATTTTCTTTTTGAGTTTGAAAATCGGCCCATGGTTAATGATGTAGTTCTATGCAGAATCATGTGATATCTTCAGATTTGAAAAGTTTTATTTTTGCTAGGTAAATTTTAACTTGAAATCTTATGAAAATTCAGTATTCCCACCCCTTTACCAACACCACTAAATAGCTTATTTAAAGTAAAGTAAAATGTATCAGGTTAATTTATTAGGATGAAAATGATCCAGAATAGTGAAACGAATGATCTTGACACATTTATTAAATTTAATATTCCTTTAGAAACAAAAATCATCAAATACAAAACCTGTTTTACTACTACGACCCGGTGTTGCTGCACACCATAGAGAACATGTCTTTCTTGCTTCTGTTTCTACTCAACACCTCCCTGCTGACCACCTGAGCTCGGATGTAGCCTTCCTCTCCCTCCTGGCTGTACACGGACTGCTGGCCCGGCCACTCTGCTGCACACAACGCTCTATACCTGGGTGTGCGAGGCCAGGCAGGGACATGCATGGGGTTGTCCAGGAAAGCTCTGACTTGAACATTGGTGAGGCTGCAGGTAAGAGGGGCTCACTGCCAGCCTGGATGTTATCCAGATCTATGAGATCAGTGAGGGTCTGGCACCTAGATTGACTTCAGGAGTCTTCCTGACCCTTGAAGGAATCAGGTCACCAACTGATTCGTCATGCCCAGATCCTCTCATAAGTCTCCATATCCAAGATCTTTTGACTGCCAATTTTCTCTCCTCCTCATCCTTACTGCAGAGCATTGTCTGCAGAACTGCCTCGATGAGCATACCAGGAAGATCTCCTCACAGTCTGCTCCACAATCTGAACAACCTTCCTGGCTGACTCTCAGGAGCCAGCTGGAAGAGAACATGCCTCGACCTTCGGAGAACGATGACTTGACCTTGGTGTTGGAACCACTCAAGGGCAGACACTCACGATGAATTGGACAATAAGTCTCAGGTTGTGAAGCTGGTTCCCTTTCAGTTTATGATGAGCGACCCAAATTCTGCAGAACCTGAGAGCCGCCAGAGCCACCCAGAATGTGAGACTGACCCATCTGCAGGTAAGCAAGTCTATCAGGCACATGACCCCAGTTTGATGCACTGCAAATCATAAAAATATAGTACTGGTCAGTACTCAGGTCGTCAATGACAGTATGTGCAAGCTCGGATTTATTTCTAACTCAGTGGCAGAGTCCAGCATCTGCCAAGAGGACCAGACCATCTGTTGTTTGAAAGAGTCTTGCCATCCAGCCCTGGATCAGATGTCTGAGTGGCAACTGCTTAAGTGGAGGTCACAAACAATCCAGACCAGCTTCCTCCCAATCTCTTCCGCTCTATCTACATCATGACCCTTGCCACCCTGTGCTTGCAGCGGTGCTGTCCCCTCCAATGGCCTGCAGGGTCTGGTCTACGTTCTCTCTGAGCCAGTTCACAATGTTATCTGCCACTCATCTCAGCTGATTTCCTGATGTCATCTTTCTGGAGTGAAATGCCACAAATAACTCCCTCCTGGTTCACCGCAGCA